AAGAAGAACACGTTGAAATTGAGTGACAAACTTGAAATAATTAAGAAACTAGACCGTGGTGTGAGCAATACTGTTCTAATGGAAACATGCGACATTGGAAAGTCTACAATTTATGATATAAAAAAGGCAAAGAATAAAATTCTAGAATTCACAGCCTTTTCTTTAAAACTGCTCGTTTTGATAAATGAAGCATGCTATATTTGCTAATGAATAAACTATCAAAATGTACCTGTTCATCTCTTCTTTATTCCTCCTTAAATTTGAATTTTAAAAGTACTGCGTGAGAATCCGGAAAATCCGAAAATCCGGACTGACCCAATCCCCAAGCAGTCCCGATTTTTGGACTTCTACTGTACCCAATATCCCATTGAAATAATAGATTCAGTTGACGAAATTTTCAGTTAACTACTGACTCTGTGGAGAACCAATTGTGCTCGTTAATCGAGTGACACTGTATTGGTGATACTGAGGTTGTGTGCAGCACACTTGCTGAGGAGGAGTAGGTCGTTGGGATTACACTTGGCTACCGTATATCACGGCCTATAAGGCGGCGGGGTGCATAAGACGCTCCCCCCAAATTTCCATTTAAAAAGTAGCTTTTGAGCTCTATTTGCTGTATATGACCAGTACCCCAAATGTGACACTTACCCACTGACTCAGTAGTCCTTTACCAACCATCCTTGATTTTTTAAAATAAGGCCAATTCACTTCAAGTAATGTCATCAAATTATACCCGCTGGTGTAGTGTAAACACTAGTGACGTCACTGAAGCGTCTGCTATTTACCGATAACTGGAACTAATGTCGGTATCGAGTAAAATTTTTCCATTTACTTGAAATGGATTTACCGATTTATTTGTTTATTTATTTATTTATTTATAATATACTGTAACATATTAAACACACTGCAAGTATTTTCTTTCATTTATACGCTTGCTTCACACGAGACGATCGGTGGTGGGAGTGTTCCCTCGTCTCGGTGGTGTGGCTGTGTTCCGACTATTTATACAACAGGTGGTTCAACAGCAACCACCGTATTCTAATTGTGGTGTTTCATTAGGATTTGAGTGAAAAAGGTTACCAGTATGTACTTACTACATACATTTATTACACAAATATATATATATATATATATATATATATATATATATATATATATATATATATATATATATATATATATATATATATATATATATATATATATATATATATATATATATATATATATATATATATATATATATATATATATATATATATATATATATATATATATATATATATATATATATATATATATATATATACAGTTGTACCCCACTTAACGCGGTCAATTGAACCCAGAGGGTCCGTGTTAAGTGAAATCCGCGTTAAGTGAACAACAGAACATATGGGATTAATTCCAATAGAAACCGGCCCGACCCCCAAACTCCACTTTTTGAAGGCACATACCTATGTTGTAGTAAAAATAACATCTTAATTTTATGATGGTACATGCACACAATTAATACTTAAGAGAAATAGAGAAATACAGTCGCCAAGTTAATGTCCATTCAAATAATGGACTCAACTCACACTACACTCACTGGCTCTTCCCTCTCAGAGAAATTTTTGGGGGAAAACCACTAAATTTTAATAAATAATACCTCAAACTAAAGTTAGGATAATACAATTGACATTGCTGGATTCCTTGTAAGACCAGGAATATTTTGAATATAAATGTCATATATTTTGCACAAAAGATAACATAGTTACCTAGAGAAAAATTTTTATCTAAAATTTGTATGTTTAATGAAAAATATATGATGTTTATATTCAAAGTGATCACCAAATTATAAGAATTCCAGCAATGTAAATTATATTCTGACTGGGTAATTTGTATGAATTTTATGAGCTAAAACAAATATCTTCAGTTAATAAAAAAAAAAATAATCTTCACAACACTATCTGTCAATCAAAGTACCCCACCTTGCCTCCCCCCCTCTTCCAACCGCGCGGTCAGTCCCAACCCTCCCCCCCACCCCCCACCAATCCTCCCTTCCAGGGTTTTTAACATTTAGTATTAAATAATACCTCAGATTAAAGTTAGGATAATATAATTGATATTGCTGGATTCCTTGTAAGACCAGGAATATTTTGAATATAAATGTCATATATTTTGCACAAAAGATAACATAGTTAATTTGAGAAAAATTTTTATCTAAAATTTGTATGTCTAATGCAAAATATATGATGTTTATATTCAAAATGATCATCAAATTATAAGAATTCCAGCAATGTAAATTATATTCAGACCGGATAATTTGTATGAATTTTATGAGCTAAAACAAATATCTTCAGTTAATAAAAAAAAAAATAATTCTTCACAGGGTAACAGATGGTCGGTCGGTCCCTCCCTCCCCCCCACCCCCCACCAACCGTCCCAAGGAGATGTGTGGGATAACCACTAAATTTTAATAAATAATACCTCAAACTAAAGTTAGGATAATATAATTGACATTGCTGGATTCCTTGTAAGACCAGGAATATTTTGAATATAAATGTCATATATTTTGCACAAAAGATAACATAGTTAATTTGAGAAAAATTTTTATCTAAAATTTGTATGTCTAATGCAAAAATATGATGTTTATATTCAAAATGATCACCAAATTATAAGAATTCCAGCAATGTAAATTATATTCTGGCCGGGTAATTTGTATGAATTTTATGAGCTAAAACAGGCAGTCAGGCAGGGTGGGGCAAATCTAAAAATAGCTCGAGCCGGACACTCACCGCGTATATGTGGAAAAAATCCGTGTTAAGTGAAAGTTCAGCTCTGGCGAGGCACCGCGATATGATAAAAACGCGTTAAGTGAAACCGCGTATATATATATATATATATATATATATATATATATATATATATATATATATATATATATATATATATATATATATATATATATATATATATATATATATATATATATATATATATATATATATATATATATATATATATATATATATATATATATACAAAAAATGAATGTTCAATGAATTATTTATGGTGCATTAGGGTACTGGCCACTTCAGACGGGCTATAAATAGCCTTGTTATCTCCCCTCCATCTTGCCCTGAGCCAGAGGGACGCATCTTGGTAAATAACATGTTTGCTTATTTTCCATTTACTTGAAATAGATTTACCGAATTATTTGTTTATTTATTTATTTATAATATACTGTAATATATTAAACACACTGTTGGTAATTAAATTTGATGTTTATTTTCAGTTTGTCTAATTTATCATGTATCAAATTAATATTACTAGAAATTGTGTAGGTAGTAGGCAGCTACCAAACAGGGAGGTACTACTGCCTGGGAAGATATTGGAAGCAAAATGTGTTGTCTAATGGTAGACCCTGCTGCCATATGGCATCACGAAAATTGTGACCAAGTCCCAGGTTGCTGACCTGACTTTCTGCCTCATTTACACAATTGCAGTTTCAATTGTTCCTCTTACTTTGACAACACAACATACATACAGTATATTATTTCTCAGTTTTGATCTTTTTTTTTAATTTTTGTATTTATTTATAGTTAGTTACTTAAAATAAAGCCAATTCACTTCAAGTAATGGCATCAAATATTACCAGCTGGTGTAGTGTAAACACTAGTGACGTCACTTGAGCGTCTGTAATTAACCGTCGATAGTTTCAAGAATTAATGCACTCATTTACTGAATATTCTTTGTAAAAAAATAAAATTTAAATCAATTATTTATAGGAGATAAATATTATTATGAGTAAATATACCGATACCGGTATGCATTACTGACCACCTCCACGGCTAAAAATAGCCCAATCTCGCGGTCACTTTCCCTTTCTTGTCTCCTCACTGGCAAATGGGGGGGGCGTGGGGAGGGGTGTGTGATGATAGCTGTGTTTATTACAGGGTATGTTAGACAGGTTTATAATACATTTTTATTATTTTAATATACCGGTAATCTTAATTTGAATCCAGCTTGCCAAACGTAAGTTTCAGTATAAAATAATTAGTGGTAAGACCTTGTGAGTGGCTTACGATGTTTTCATCACCACTCTTGACACACTAAACCACAATATTTAAGAGGTAAGAATTTTAAACTTGGTGGTTTAGACGACCCCCTAACTTTGGGCAGATTTTTTTAATGTTCAAATTTCGTCTTATAGGCCGTGATATACAGTAATCCATTTCTCCCTGTGATTCCCTGCCAAATGTCAGCATCTCTACCATCTATGGCACTGAAATCACCAAGGAGCACAACCTTGTCTTATATGGGCATAGAGGTTAGCACTCTGTCAAGGTCGGCATAAAAGGCCTTGATGTCATCCTCTTCATCCAATGTTTGGGCGTATGCATTTATGAAAAAGGCATGACGTGGGTGATTCAGTGGGATTCTGAGTGTTATGAGGTTCTCGGTGATCCCAACAGGTATTTCAGTTAGCCCGCACGAGCACGAACTGATCGCTATAAGAACAGCCCAGTCCCAACCATTGTAAAAATTATCAATAACTTGTAATCAACCAGTGTGTTCACTCCCAGTAAATCTTACCTTTTGCACTGTCACTATGTTGAAATGCCCTGTAGTTTGAGCTTCTCCCCACCTAATTATTATATCATATTTGTATCACTTATGTTCCTTGTATATCATTTGTAAATCAAGAGACCCATTCCCCAATTATGTAATTGTATACTTTCAGCCTTCCGGCTGCCATGCTCTTTCAATAAACCGTCAATTATTATTATTATTATCACACACACACACACACACACACACACACACACACACACACACACACACACACACACACTTGCTTACATGTATTTGACTGAACAGTAATCATACTACTGAATACAGATAGTCTCCTCTGTTTGGGATGATTTTGTATAAGTATTACCTCTCTTCCCTTTGGCCATAAAATAAGGACTTCATACTTTGATCCTTTGTTTTATTTTTGTTTTTGTTTTTTGCAGAACGAGAGAGTTTGGCTTTGTGTGTAGGAACAACAGCTGCCTCCCACACTGACCTCGTCTTGACCCACATTGATATGTGGCTCAAGTCAGCAGATCCTACAAAGAGACCCATGTCCTTTTTTAACTTGATTAAAGTAAGTATTATGATCAGATTATTATTTTTTTTTCAAATTTTACTTTGTAAACTTCACTAAGGAACTTGCAACCTAAATTACATCACAAACTAAATTAATTTTCAGATTTTTTTGTGTGCATATCACATTTGTTAATATAACTCTGTATTTGTATCTACAGGACTTCCTTGATACTTCTTGAAGTTTGTTTCAAGACTGAATTTTAGAGAAACAAATGCATGACTTCCTGAAATTCAGAAGCACATGGCAAAATTGGGTTTGCTTCCTAGACATTTGAAACACGTTCTTTACCGGGTTAATACAGTAGTCAGTTTAGTTATTATCAGTTATAATATATGGTCTACTTACCGTAAATTGCGGCGTATAAGTCGACCTCAAGATTTTTCGTTAAAAATTCAGGTTAGTTCTATACTCACCATATAAGTCGATCCCCCAAGGCCCAAACATAGGCGAAAGTGTGTAATAAGGCCACACCACTTTCATCAAGACACTTACCGTAATATGTTTCAATATTTGATATACAGTGTAACTCCCAGTAAACAATGGAAACGACACACCAACGCACCACCCGCTGTGAGTGTCGGTACAGTTGCCAGGGCAGATCTCTTGCGTCATCATAGCAAGCCCAAAGTAGCCAAATGCATGGTATGGTATGCACAGGAGTATGTAAAACATAAAGTATTCATTTTTAAAAGTTTATTTATAGATACATAAATTTTTTTTAATTAAATTTGAAACATCAATCTTTGTTAATTAAATTTGAAACAAAAGAAAAATACAATACCTTATTTATAAATATTTTCATTAAAATATTACATCACAAGTATATTTTACCTTAACTGTGCCTGAATGAATATATTTTCAGAAATAAATATGGAAATGTAATATTTTTGCTGAAATGACGTACGTATTACAGTGGAAAGTGGGATAAAATTGTGACGAAAACAATGACTTTCACTTTCTTTCGTCGTTCAAAAGATTTTACCGTAATCGCTTTTCGAATGGTTTTCAGTTAAAAAACTGTTGTATTACAATAATATTCTATCCTAATTGACTTGAATAAATACTACGATACCATATTTCTGAATATTTTCATTAAAATCCATCAAAATCATTTTCCTTGTCATCATCTGCAGCACCAAACAGCTCCTCCCAGTCCTCTCCTTGAACAGCATCGTCATATGGATCAACACCATCATCAGCCATAGGATCATCAATATCTTCATCCTCATTCACGCTCTCATTAGCCTCATAATCCCACAACAAGTCGTCTTCTGTTCCATCAAGAGCATTCGAAATCCCACATTTCTTAAATGATTTCACCACAATTTCTGGTCTGATTGCATCCCAGGCCTCTACAATCCATTCACATAATGTTGCTCGTGATGGAGCTTGGATGTTGCCTCCCTTTGTGTATGTCTTATCGCCTTCTATCATCCAGTTGTTTCGCTTCACTCTTACCGCATCTTTAAATGGTTTGTTTATAGAAACATCCAGTGGTTGGACAAGACTTGTTAATCCACCAGGAATCACAGCTGTATCAGTGTTTTCCTTCCTAATCCCAGCAGTAACACTGTCAACACGATGTGACCGAAACATATCCCACACAAGAAGACTTTTTTCTTTACGCAGTTCCCCTGGTCTAAAGTTCCAGACTTTTTTAAGCCATATTTGTATGCCGCCTTCATCCATCCATCCTTTCTCGTGCACATGGATGATTAAAAAAATGCTGTCTGACTTGCAACACTGTTGGTAGGGTCAGGTGGTTCTAACGGCACCTGCCAGGACCCGGTAATCAAATTTATAACAGTGTCTAACCTCAATTACTGTAGTTTATCTGATGTAGGCAATATGAAGTAAAAAATACCACTTAAAGTGAGAAATTGGAAGAGAATAAATAAGAAAGATGTCGTTGGGCTATTTTTGGTAGGGCTGAGGGAGAGAGTACCAGCTGTTTGGTCTTTTTTGGCGGGAGAGTCACGCAAATATCTGTACTGGTATTTGTTTGGTGTCTTCTGTATTTTTAAAAATGAATACTTGTAAATTAAAAGTACCGTAACATTGTATTATATACAAACTTGTCATATTTCTGGAAAATAAGAAGCAAGAAAATAAGAATATACCGGTAAACACAATTTCAACGTACGCTAAAATTAAAAGCTGCTTAAGAAGGGCCGATGCAAACACAAAGCCTCCGCGACCAGGGCTCTGCCGTATCAGCTAGACGGTACACGTGTTTTTCGAATCGTTTTCAGTTAAAAAACTGTTACATCACAAGTGAATTAGGATAGAATATTATTGTAATACAACAGTTTTTAACTGAAAACCATTCGAAAAGCGATTACGGTAACTTCTTTTCAACGAAAGAAAGCGAAAGTCATTGTTTTTGTCACGATTTTATCCCACTCTCCACTATAATAAGTACGTCATTTCAGCAAAAATATTACATTTCCATATTCTCAGAAATTAATAGTAGTTCTGCTGAAACGTGATGTATTTCAATGTAAATTAGGATAAACTACATGATGAAAACAAAAGACTTTACCAAACCTTCCGATGTTCAAGATATGTTACTCGTTTTTTTAATAGTTTTCGGTTAAAATACTGTTATATTAGTGATATTCTATTCATACTGTGGTTGATATAATACATTCACGGAAATGTAATATTTTTTGCTGAAATGACGTACGTATTACAGTGGAAAGTGGGATAAAATTGTGACGAAAACAATGACTTTCGCTTTCTTTCGTTCAAAATATGTTACCGTAATCGCTTTTCGAATGGTTTTCAGTTAAAAAACTATTGTATTACAATAATATTCCCTCCTAATTAACTTGAATAAATACTTGAATGGAAATATACAATATTTTTGTTGAAACTACCCGCGTTTCAGTGTAAAGTGTCGTAATAATAAATGGTAAACAAGTTTATAGGACGTAGAGTGTTTTTCTGAAGGTTTTGTTGTTCCTTTACCCTCAAAAACTTGGGTCGACCTATAAACGAGGAATATCATAAATTAACGATTTCTTGGTCAAAAAATCGGGGTCGACCTATATACGAAGGGGGGTTATAGATGAGTATATACGGTATATTATATAGTTCATGCAAAAAGGGAAGTGGGCAACAGGATCTGCATAGGACAGCAAGCAACTGCTAAAAATCTTCAGTAAGTTATATTTGTAAGAACTCTGGTAAACACCAAGCCAAAATCTAATAAAATAGTAATTGTTTACACAGCATGCCAGTACTCTGTATAGCACTTTGATAGTATCGCTATAAACGGTATGATAGTTGAACATTATGGTACACCTGGCTTATGATCCGCCATTTGCATCAGCTGCTGTAAACAAACTGCCAGTGGCGCCACCAACACCAAGCGGCCAGCTGCGAAACTATGGGTCCGTTACACTGTCGGCAGCACGGCTTAGACTTAAACTGTCAAACACTGCAGCGTTGTTTGAAGCGTTTTCAAAAGCAACAACTTTCATCATATTTCATCCTTTTTGCTGGGGGGAGCCTTGAGGATAAGATATTTTCAACTGTTGTCAGGTTGGTGTGTGGGTAATGAGTGGATGCCAGCAAGAGCATAAAGCCACAATGGTTTAGTAAATTGCCATTTAGGCTTGTTCAGTGCATCCCCCAAACACTGAACAAGCCTACATGTAGAAACTGTCGTATAATCTTTTAAAAAAATGTTGGATTTCAAATGTAATGGATGGGGAAGATTATGATTTGTTGTGGCGAGACAGTGAGGAGGAGGAGGATGACAGCAAATATAATGAAGACGAAGTCGGAAGTTCCAGTGATTCGGACCCATATGCAGACTTCTTTATGTTAGACGATGAACAGCCAGCAAACTGAAGGATTTTAAAATATGATCATACATGCTTTTACTGTCAATAAAATGTAACTTTGAAGTAAAATTAATCTTGAAGTTAAAGTTTTAACTTTTTATCTTAGAGTTAAGGTTTTAGTTACAGTGTCATTGGGTGTATTTTCAATATACTGCCATATCATTAAACTGTCATTACCCCTGTAGTGTATGTGAACTCACAATCTATAGCGCAATCATAAAATTGCGCAGATGGCATCCATATCATAGTACCTGGTAGTTGTCTGGCTGGCTGCCTGGGTTTAGTGACGTTCTGATTGATTGTTTACTGTCCATCAGCTGTTGAAAATGGCATGTGGTGTTGTGTTCATTTAATTATAATGGAATTTACAATTTTATTATAATCTATGTTGAATAAGTTTACCAAACATGAATTTCAGTAGGAAATATTAGCGGCAGGCCACGGGAGTTACTCTAAGTGATGCACAGCGAGTGTTAGGCAGGCTGTTCCACTTGTTTACCACTATGTGGTACAGCTTCACATTTTATGCTCTGAGTATAAGTCAACCCCTGGTTTTGGAGAGATTTTTTCAAGCTTAAAATGTTGACTTATACGCCACAATTTACGGTAAGTGGCAGCGTTGTGTTATTTACATAGGAAATCAACACTTATTTTTCAGGGTGAGAAGGGACCATAATTTTATGGCCCCTTCTGGAGATTACACTGTACTTTGAGTACAAGGTAGTGCATTGGTACCCTGAGTAACATGATCTATCTCTCATAACCAGTGGATGCGACTGCCTCTTGGAAGCCATCACTCCGGTGACATTGGATGACATTATGTACAAACTCAGCATAACTTGGCTCAACCTCTGAGGAGGTTGCCAGATATGTTATATTGCACTGCAGATTAATATACAGTGGTCCCTCGGTTAACGAACACAATTCATTCCAGAAGGTTGTTCGTTAACCGAAACCATTGTTTCAATGGGGTTTTGGGAAATTGGTTCCAGCTCACCGAAAATTATATACAAACTAAAATTAAATGCAGTAAAGTACATTTACTTTGAGGTGTGCATGTAGAAGGCTCCTGGTTCATGATGATGATGATTGGAATTAGAAGTGGGGGTGGAGGAGAAGGGAGAAGAAAAAGCAGTGGGCGTGGAA